CTCGCTTTGTGGTACCGGGCTACCTTTTGAAATTTTCTGTAACCCGGGTCCTGACCAGCTGATGTACAAAAAACTTATTTCTCTTATTTTTATGTACATGAAACATGTAGCACATCATGATGACAGCTAGCAAAATAGAAGGAGTAGTGTATGAAGACAGAGGGAGTAGTGGAGACTAACAGATGGCAGAGTCCATGCTTCGTAAACAGAGCCAAAGCCCACCCAGCATCGGCTGATTGAGGCTTCATAAGCTTTTCATTTGCACTTGTTATCCTGATACTAGGGAAGTACGTTCTTATCCAAGATGCAACTGTTTCATCAGGGCTTCCAACTAAAATGTTATCACCCGACTCTAACCTCTTTCTTCATTTTAGGACCTAACTGCAAACGTAACAGAAAAATTTATCTCAATAAAGTGGTTTTTTAAAAAAACAAACAAAACAAAACAAAAAAACACCACCAAAAACTCACACATAAATAAACCAAAATATCACACAACTTAACTGGCATTAAAAAAAAAAAGTAATTTAAGAAAACAGAATGCAGTGGACAACTGAAGGCCAAAAGCAAGATTACATTTATGGCATGGCTCCTGTGGGTCATGTCTTTATATGAGTCCCATCTCTTTTATATCAACTCTGGCTAAAGAGACTAGTATAGTACCTTATACATAGTAGGCACACAGGAAAAGTAATCTAAGTGAAATTTTCTAAACACTCCTGTGGAATGCTGCTGTTGTTTTTAGGTGCCATCGAGTCAAGTACGACCCATTAACAACCCTATGAACAGATATGAACCTTGTCAGTCCTCTCCTCTGACATCCTCACACTTCCTGACACATTAGAGCCCATTGCGGCAGGCACTGTGTCAATCCACCTGGTCGAAGAGCTTCCTCTCCTTCACTGACCGTCTCTGCCTTTCTGAGCATCATGCCCCTCTCCAAGAAAGAGCCTCACCTAGAAACATGCCTGGAGTATGAGAGGTGAAGCTTTATCATCTTTGCCTCCAAAGAGCACTCTGGTTGCACTTTCTCCAAGACATATTTGTTTGTTCTTTTGGCAGTCCATGAAATGTTCAGCACTATTCTCCAACACCACAGCTCAAAGACATAGATTCTTTAGTCAACCTTATTTATTGTCCAACTCTCCGAAGCATAGCAAATGATCAGAAAGACAAACCTTAGTCCTCAAACTGACATCATTACAATAATTTAGAGAGGTCCCTAACTGCAGTCTTCTCCAGTGTAATACGTCCCTTGATTTCCTCACTACTTGTACCAAGAGTGTCAACTGTGGATCCAATTAAGATGAAGTTATTGACAATTTCAATCTTTTCTATCATGATGCATGCTGCTTGTTGGTCCAGTGGTAAGAATCTTTGCTTTTTTAATGCTGAGATGTAATCCATCTTGAAGGATGTATTATTTAAACTTCTGCAACAAGTTCTTCAAGTCCTCCTTACTTTCATCTGCATAATGGAGGTTAATGATGAGTCTTCCTCTGATCTTGATGCCACATTCCCCTTCATAGTATGGCTTCTCAAATAATTTCCTCAGCATACAGACTGAATAGGTATGGAGAGAGAACACAACCCCGATGCACTCCTTTCTGGTGGCCTAGTGGCAAGAAGCTGCACTGCAACCCCAAAAGCACGTGGTTCTAGGCTACAGGATGAAGGCTAGCAACCTCCATCTGTACATTTAACTGCCTCTGAAAACCTGCCAGACTGTCAGCAATGGGTCAATTCTCACTCAAAGGTATACAACAACAGTGTGGCCTTGCTCTGTTTGCACAACAGCCTCCTGGTCTAGATAGAGGTTTTGAAAGAGCACAAGTGTTCTGGGATTCCCATTCTTCTCAATGTTAACCATAACTTGTTATGATCCACACAGTCAAATGCCTTTGCTTAGTCAATAAAGTATAAACAGACATTCTTCTAGTATTCTTTAATTTCAGCCAGGATCCATCTGATATCAGCAAGGATATCCCTAGTGCCAAGGCCTCTTCTAAATCCTGCTTGAACTTCTGGCAGTTCTCTAACTATGTAATGTTCTAGCCAATTTTGAATGATCATTAGCAGTATTTTATTTACATGTGATATTAATGATATTGTTCGACACTTTTCACATTCAGATGGATCACCTTTCTTGGGAATGGGAACAAATATGGACCTCTCTTCCAATCCATTGGCCAGACTGTTGTCCTCCAAATTCCTGACATAGACTGGTGAATGCATCCAAGGCTGCATCTGGTAAGTGAAACAAGTCAATTGATATTCCATCAATTCTTGCATCTTATTTTTTGCCAAACGTCTTCAGTACAGCTTCAACTTCCTTCTTTATTATCATTGGCTCTTGCTCATATGATACTTCCTAAAATTTTTCAGTATCAGTGAGTTCCTTCTGGTTCAGTGATTCTGTATGCTGTACTCTCTACAGTGACAACCTCAATCTTCTTTTGATGCTTCCTGGGTCATTCAATATATTACCCATAGAATCTTTATTGCAACTCGAGGCTTAAATTTGTTTTTTAGTTCTCTCAGCTTGAGAAATGCAGAATGAGTTCTTCCCTTTTTATTCTCCATTTCCAGTTCTCCGCACATATCATTATGAGACTTTGCTTTGTCTTCTCAAGCTGCCCTTTGAAATCTTTAATTCAGCTCTTTTACTTCTGCATGTTTTCATTTTTTTACGACCTGGTGCAATTGTCAGCGTCTCTTCTGACATCTATTTTGGTTTTTCTTTCTCTGCCTTTGTAATGACCTTTTGTTCTCTTCACAGATTATATCTTTGATGTCACCTTACAGCCCATTTGGTCTTCAATCACTGGTGTTCAATACTTCAAAGCTATTGTTAAGATGATTTTGAAATTCAGATGAAATAAATACCTATATTTCTATTTTATAAACAGGGAGACCAGTCTTAGGGAGTTGAACTAGAAAGGTCTTAAAAATTATTAACTCCAAGCCGAACAACTCAGATTTCAAGAAATAAAACTGAGGCTCAGAAACATGATGTGTCCATAGGCGTGAACCAGTGGAAGCTGGGCACCAGACACAAGTCTCCTGGACTTTGATGTCACATTCCTTCCCCAGTGACCTAAGAAGGCAGTCAAGCCTATCACAAGTTACTAGAGAATAACTCGAAATATGAGAGCATTTCAAGAAATGACATGTTGCCTGACAAAACAGCCTTTCCCGATGTACCTGCTTAATTATTTTAGAAGGCCCCCTGATGGCTTGGATCAGGGGTGTCTCTGCTTTTGTCAGGTGTCCCTGCAGGCCCTGAGTAAACATCACAAGAAATGTCTTTTCTTTTTGTTGAGGATCAGGGCCTCTCTCGTCATGAGGCCACTAAGTTCTCAGGGCTGACATTCCAGCTGGGGTGCAAGTGTCTCTCTAGCCCCTGATCCCTGGTGTCTACCCAATAAATAATTTTTTTAATATAAATTTTTAATTTTATATCCCAATAATTACTTTTATCATATAATCTTATTCTGACTTTCAGTTCCAACCAAGAAGGTGAAGTGCAGTCAAACAAACCACAGGAGAGCATAAATAAATCAGTAAAGTATCACAGTGGTCTAAAGTCAAGAGTCAAAGACAACGAACAGCTCTGGAGTTGAGGTGACCCAGAGTTTGCATACTCTTTCTGACAAGACTGCACAGATAGTCGTGAGCCCCTGGAACCTGTGTGTCTGTTCTTCTTCTTCTGTTGCTCCACTGACACTCCCAACTGTGTTTTAATTTGACTCAAATAAGCACTAGGCAGCAGAGTCTTGGGAAATTTTTATAGGTAGAGATATATTTCCTTCAGCTACATCATCTTATCTGTTCTACCCAAAAAAGGGCTATGCATATGATACAACCTTACTTGTCAAAACTTAAAAGGACCTGAAGCACTTGCTGAAGAAAGGGAAGGACTACAGGTTCCTAAGTGGATTGAAGATTATCATCAAGAAAACAAAGATTCTCACTACTGGGCCAATTGACAGCAACATGATAGATGGAGAAGAGATTGAGATTGTTGACAATTTCAGCTTGTTCAGTTCCATAATCAACCCTTTTGGCATCAACAATCAGAAAATTAAAAGACTAATTACATTAGGTAAATCTGCTGTCAAGGACTTCTTCAGAGTGCTGAAGAGCAATGATGTCAGTCTAGAGACTAAGGTACACCTGATCCCTGGACAATGACTAAAGATGACAGAAGAATAATTAGTGCCTTTAAGTTGTGGTGCTGGAGAAGAATACTAAACATACCATTGACTGACAAGAGAACAAACATCTGTCCTAATGAAGGTAAAACCAAGCAACTTACTGGAGGCAAGCATTTTGATGCTCCATCTGACATAGTTTAGGCATGTTGCCAGGAGGGACCAGTCCTTGAAGAAGGTAATTAGGCTTGAAAGGGTAGAGGGACAATGCAGGACAGGAAGACCCTGAATGAGATGGATGGACACAGTAACTAGGGTTATGGGGACAGGTGTGTTGGAGATAATGACACTGGCTGAGACCAGGACAGGGTTCAGAGCTATTGTTCATACAGTCACTATGAGTTGCAAGCAACATGAAGGCACATAACAACAACAAAAACAATTTTTAAAAAAGAGCCACAAAACAGCTCAATGGCTACTGAAGAGAGTTTTAAGCATATGTCCAAGCCTCTGGCATGGGAAAGCCTATGACAAAGCTACTGCAAGTGGTTTAAAGACTTGTATCCGGGTGCATCCTTCCACTTCACTGCAGAAATGTCTACCATCATTAGGGGACAAGGATCACATCAGGATAGACGAAATTTCAAACACTAAATTCAGACAAAAAGGTGGAGATCAAAATAATAAAAACAAAAACTCAGTATTGCCTCTTCTGGTAACAGCAGTGGGATGTGAGAAAGAGAGGTGACTAGCATCAGAAGATCCCTCTTGGCAGGAGGCAATAAATAAGAAAAGTCCAGGAAAGGAGCCTTCAGAACACAACAAAAACAGCTAGGGAACACATACTCAGCAGCAAACTTGTCCAGTGTTGCGAAGAGCTCATTCTTCACCTTGAGATTCTCTACAATGGCCTCCACCACCAGGTCTGTGCTGTGGACCACAGATGCTGCATCCGTGCTGGTTGATATGTTGCTCAGGGACTTCTCAACAAACTCAGCACCAGCCTAATGCAATGGGAGAAAGAAAAGAGCAGTCAACTGGTCGCTTCTCAAAATGATAATATGCCCCTGATTTAGAAGAGAATGGGTAGTATAGGCCAATATATCCTAGACACACACTCTTATGCACACTCTAATTCGGAGAAATAAAACTCTACATTTCTGCGTACAGACAAGGGCATCTCAGTGTGCTGCTAGACACCAGGACAAGAGATTGCTAGTGAAAAATCCATCATTACTGTGGACCACCACTGTGTTAGTCATGACCTTTGGAGGCCTTGGTCAGCCAGTTCTGCTCCATTAGTCTGTTCATAGCACCTATGCCTATAACATCTGTTCTCAGCTTCCATGGAGCCTGTAATTTGTCCTATCAGAATTGAGCAAAAGCTTAATAAGCTCAGCACTCTCCATTAGTCTCAGAGTGGTGCTGACTATTCCCTCTAACAGGTGGCAGAGAAAAGCTGTGTAAGGGCAGAAGCCAAGCGAAGAAAGACTAACCTAACAGTGATTCATGAACAGTAATTGCCTATCAAGGGTTAGCATCTGGTTACTTCAAAAGCAAGCTAAACACAACCTCTGCTCGCAAAGAGTCTCATCTTTTTCTTCTGTAATGCCAGGTTTCCATTGATTTCATTCACAGTACGAAAAAAAAAAAAAAACTCCATCACCTGCCATTGTTGTTGCTGTTGTTGTTATGTGCCATCGAGTCGCCTGTGACTCATAGCGACGCTATGTACAACAGCCCTAAACCCTGCTTATTATCTCAGACACTCATCCCCATTATCCCTGTGACTGAATCAATCCATCTCATCGACGGTCTTCCTCTCCTGCATTGTCCCTCCACCCTCCCAAGCATGATGTCCCTCTCCGAGGTCTGCTTCCACCTTGCAATATGTCCAGTATGTCCAGGATGAACTTGTTTGTTCTCTTAGCAGTCCACAGTATATTCAATACTCTTCGCCAGCATCACAGCTCAAAGGCATCAATTTTCCTTCTTTCAACCCTAGTCATTGTCCAGCTTTCTGATGCATAGCAAGTGATTGCAAAGACCATGGCCTGTATCAGATGCACCTTAGTCTCCAGAGTGACCCTATTGCTCTTCGGTCCTTTGGAGAGGTCTCTGACAGCAGACATTCCCATTGCAATACATCTTTCAATTTCCTGGCTGCTGGTACCAAGAGTCTTGATTTTAGAGCCAAGCCAACTGAAGCTGTTGATAATCTCAATCTCTTCACGTTCCATCACGATGCTGCCAATTGGCCCAGTGGTGAGAATCATTGTCTTTGTGATGTTGAGCTTCAATCCATATTGAAGGCTGCAGTCCTTGACCTTCTGCAGCAAGTGCTTCAGGTCCTCCTCAGTTTCAGCAAGCACGGTTGTGTCATCTGCATAACGCAGATTGTTCATGGGTCTACCTCCAATCCTGATGCCACATAGAGCCCAGGCTCCTGGATAATCTGTTCTGCATATAGATTGAAAAGATATGGAGATAAGACACATCTTTGGTTCATATCCTTCCTAATTTTGAACCACGCAGTGTTTCCTTTCTCTGTTCTGACAACTGTCTCCTAGTCCAAGTATAGGTTTCGCATAAGCGCAATCAAGTGTTCCGGGGTACCATTCTTCTCAGAGTCAGCCACAGTTTATTGTGATCTACACAGTCAAATGCCTTTGCATTTGTATCAATAAAACATTGATAGACAGTCCTCTGGCACTCTCTGCTTTCAGCCAAGATCCACCTGACATTAGCTATAATATCCCTAGTATCATAGCCTCTTCTAAACCCAGCCTGCACTTCAGGCAGTTCTCTGTTGATGAGCAGTTCCAGTCGTTTTTGGACAATCTTCAGCAGAATCTTTCTTGCGTGTGATATTGATGATACTGTTCGATAATTTCCGCACTGTCAGATCACCCTTCTTTGGAATGGGAACAAATATAGGTCTCCTCCAGTCAGTTGGCCAGGTGTTTATTCTCCAGATTTCTTGGCACAACTTGGTGAGCACAACCGAGAGAGTGTCTGTAGATAAATTTCAGTTGGCACACCATCAATTCCTGAGGCTTTGTTTTGTATTTCAAGATAAAATTTGTCCATGGGGATCCAAATATTTATAAGTAGAAACTGCATCTAAAACAATCATAAATAAGCTAAATAACAATGTTCATCAGATATATAAATACAAAATACAAGTAGTTTATAAAGTTTTCTATATATGGAGCTCTGGTGGCTTAGTGGTAAGGAATTGTACTGCCAACCCAAAGATATACAGTTCAAATCCACCAGATGCTCCATGGGAGAAAGATGAGCAATCAACTCTTGTGCAACTGACTGCATCTCAACACCTGCTGGAGAGTCAGCTATGGGTTGGTTCCGACCCAATAGTACTCAATAACAATAACCAGCTACATTAAAAGAGTAAAATGAAATTTAATTACCCCAACACAACTAACATAAATATTTTAACAGAGAATAAATATAAAAATTAATGAGGTATTTTATATTCTTTTTGTACCAAATCTGTGTGGAGTCTATTTTACACTTACAGCACATTTAAATCAAACTAGAAATCAGTTTTTGGCTAGTGTCTACCATGTTGTTTGTTGTTAAGTCACTTGTGATTCATAGCGACTCTACGTACAATAGCTCTGAAGTCTGTCCTATTCTGAGCTAATTTCACTGTCTCTGTTACACTTACCCCCATTACCCTGGTACTATGTGGATCCATCTCATCTGGGGTCTTCCTCACCTGCGTTGTCCCTCCACCTTTCCAAGCATGATGTTCTTCTCCAAGGACTGGTCCCTTCTTGGCCACATGCCCAAAGTATGTGAAATGGAGCTGTGAAATCCTTTCCTCTAAGGAGCTGCTTAGTTTTTCTCTCTCCAAGACAGACCTGCTTGTTCTCTTGGCAATCCATGGTATGTATGTTCAATACTCTTTTTCAGCACTATAACTCAAAAGGATCGATTTCTTCTATCATCCTTAATCACTGTCCAGTTCTTTGATGCACAATATTGATGGAACCAAGCAAGCAGAAATCGTGTACAATCTCAATCAATCTCTTCCCAATTTACCATGATGCTACCAACTGGCCCAGAGGTGAGAACTTGTTTTTTTCTTAATGCTGAGATTCAAACCATACTGAAGACTGCAGTGCCTGACCTGTAGCAAATGCCTCAGGTCCTTCTCAGGTTTAGCAAACAGGGTTGTGTGTCACCCGCATAATGCAGGTTGCTGAGGAGTTGATGAACATCCCTGACATACACTTTTCCTGATTTTGAATAATGCAGTATTTCCCTGTTCTGTTCTGACAACTGCTTCTAGGTCCAAGTATAAGCACGTTAAAGTGCATAAGAACAATCAAATGTTCTGAGATTCCCATTCTTCTCAGAGTTAGCCACAGTCTGTTGTCATCCACAGTCAAATGCCTTTTCACAGTCAATGAAACACAGATAGACATTCCTCTTGTACTCTCTGCTTTCAGTTAAGATCCATCTAACATTGGCTTTGATGTCCCTAAGGCCTCAGCCTCTTCTAAACCCTGCTTGTACATCTGGCAGTTCTATGTCAATGTACTGTGCAATCATTTTTGGATAATCTTCAGTAGGATCTTGTTTGCATGTGGTATTGTTTGATAATTTCCACACTCTCTCAGATCATCTTTTTTTGGAATAGGAATAAATATGTATCTCTTTCAGTCCATTGGCCAGGTAGTTGTCCTCCAGGTTTCCTGGTACAACCTAGTGATTGCACCCAGGGCAGCATCTGTTTGTTGAAATATGTCAATTGATATGCTGTCAATTCATAGGGCCTTGTTTTTTGCCAATTCCTTCAGAGCAGCTTGAACTTCCTCCTTCATCACCATTGCCTCTTGATCATAGGCTGTTTCATGAAATTCTGTATCAGCCAATTCTTTGTGATACAGTGACTCTGCTCTCTTTCCATCCTCTTTTGATAAAACTATACTGGTCAACAAAAAATTAGATAAATATGGTACGTCGACCACATAAACTGATTTCTCTGTCATCTAAGGATATAGATGGCAGAAAAGTGGAAAATACAAGAAACTGCTTCTGAGGATTCAGGAGTTAAAGGTTGAGCAACTAGAGATCAGGGGTTATTTGCTTATCCTCAGGGTGTGTCTTAAAGGGAGCGTTTCCCTATTCTCCAGAGATTGCCAAGAAATGTCTGCAGAATAAACAAGTGAGAAATATAGTTATCTCTGTTCAGATTCACTCTGTCCTAGACAACAATCATCAGTTCAGGATTCTTAATAGATGACTCTCATCACAAACCCTCCTTACACAAAAGATTAAGGATATGTGGAACAGGTCAAAGGCCTCTTAATCTGCCTGTGGTTTTGATTGTGTGGGAAAGGATAACATTATCTTTTCATTCAAGCCTCAAGGAGATAAATCTTAAGCAACACTAACAAGGTAACAATGGTAAATGAAATACATGTGGATGACTTCCAGTATTTCTAGTTAACTGTTAATTAAAGTGCCATGGAAAGTAAGCATTACCCAATGAGAAAAAGTAAGTGAACCTTACTAACCTTCGAAAACTTTCTCAAATTCTACACTTCTCCTTGAAAATGGAAATGAGTCACCCTATAATGTCTTCTCTAGTTTATAGTGTTCTATTGCACATAATGTTTTTGAAGGCCTGTTATTTCAGAAGTGGATAGCCAATCCTTCTTCCTTCTATCTTAATTTAGATTTCCCATTATAGAAGTACCCAATGGACTCAGTACTGGTACCCCACTCCCCACCCACTCTGTGCGTTGGTGCATTTGTCTTGTTCCATCACTTTCCGTGCTCTGCCAGCATCCCCTTCTACCCCCACCTCCTCCATCCAGCACCTCCCTCTTCCCAGGGCTCAGGGCTCTGGGAAGATATGATATGATATGATATGATATGATATGATATGATATGATATGATATGATATGATGTGATGTGATATGATATATCTCAGGGCTCAAGTCACTTCTGTGATGCCTCCTGCTTCACACTGCTGCTGGTCTCTCACGCTGCTTGCCAGTCTCCCTTGAGTTTAGTATACAGTACATCAGATACCAAGTCTTTCAGGCAGAATGTTTATTATCAATCATTCTTTCTTTAATTTGAAAATACAAAAATTATCATCTTGTTTCTCCCTTTTCCATCTTCATGACAAGGCAGATATTCTTTAATCCCAAACTCTCATTACCTGTACAAACTCTGTGCTCAATATCAAACCGTTCCCAGCAATAGTTATTTACTTTCCCATTTCCAAATTAGTCCTCAATGTATGTGTAATGATTGTTATTATATTGATCAACAGTTAAAGAAAAATGAGGTTTGCACAGAAACCAAGCAAGCAAAGATCAGAATGCCTTCACAAATGTGTTGTGGTCAAAGGGTGGTCGTAAATTACCTTGGGATCCTCTGCAAACTTCTTCTTGGCCACTTTTTTAAGACTTTCCTCAATTCCCTTTTTAGATTTTGCCAAGATGTCCTCTGACTGGTCTACCAACACAACTGTGTGCCCAGTTGTTGCAGCAACCTAGAGCAAACAAACAATTTTTTATTTTAAACAGAAAGAATGCATAAGTCTCTAAAATATAAAAATACATTAAACAGCATGTTTCATATTCCACAAGAACTCTACCACCACTCCATCTCAAAATGATAAGTCAACATATCGGTACTCACATAAAATTCTCGTGGGACACTCTCCCAAGTCTTTTTTTGTAGTTTAAAACAGATTTCCAGAATAATCATGTGAAGTTTCCCCATGTTCACACATTGGGATGTCAATCAAGGAAGTACTGCTTGGGAGCCCACACTGCCCAGCACAGGAGCCAAGAGCCATTTGTGCTACATAAATTAATCAGTATTAAGTAAAATGAGAAACCCAGTTATTCAGTCACACTAGTTCACTATTTCCACAGCCCATTCAGAGTGCACTCCTCATTCCATTGTCTCTTTTTTGCCTCACATTTGGATCATCTCAAAGACTCACTGAATTATTTAAGTAAACCACAAACTTTCGGTTAATGGTGGGAAAGACTTCTGTTAGCTGTTTTGTGACAAGACCCTATTAAGAGAAAAACTTGGGGTAGTCAGTCAACTTAGGAGTAGCCGTACTTCTCCATTCAGCCCACCTGCTCTGGCTGAGGGAGCAATTCTGCGGTTCAGGGTTTGTTTAATGAAGCTGTGTCAAAACCTGACCTGTGAGCAAGAATACACTACAGGCTGCAAGCAGGTGGTCCAAATCACACAATGTGCTGAAAAGCAAAATATTCACCAGCCAGATAAATGTTTCTACCTAAGAGCCAACAAACTAGACCCATCTAGCCAACAACCCAAATACTTTAGCACAAATTCCAATCGTCAATAAATTAAAGAGAAAGAGCAAATTTAGAAACTGTGCAAGAAAGAGTTAACGTGCTGTTGCTATTAAGTGTTGTCAAGTTGAGTATAGTTCACAGAGACCCTGTGTGTAATGGATCTGAACTCTGGTCCATCCAGTGCCATACTGACCATCTCTGACACACTCAAGCCCACTATTACAGTCACTGTGTCAATTCATCTCACTAAGGGTCTGTCCATCCTTTGCTGACCCTCCGCCATTCCAAGCATGACTAGCCCCTCCTAATAACACGCTTGAAGTATGGTGAGATAAAGTGTCACTATATGTGCTTACAAGGAACACCCTAACTGCATCTTTTCCAAGACATCTGTTTGTCCTTTTAGCAGCTGGACTGAACTTGCAAGGTTGGCTAGTGGTTGGCATCTAGAAACTAAGATTTTGGAAGAATTCCAACCACTCCCTGATAAGAATGCCTCACTAAATTCAAAGTGGTTGTGCAACCAATAAGGCTAATCTCAAAACTTCTGCAGTCTGGGATTTGGATATGTCTCTGGCAGAGGGTGCCAACATGAGCAGCCCCCATGACTCGGGCACTAAGAGAACTTCCTCAGTAGACAACATTTCACATGTGTTGTCACAACTCATTTAGGGAGTTAAGCACATCCTGTGCGGTGACACGGTCTACAGTGTGATGTGCTGTTAATCAAAAGGCCATGAGTCTCTGGTAGTTCAAATCTACCAGCAACTCATTGGGAGAAAGATGGGCAGTCTCCTTCATAAAGTGTCCATAGCTTCAGAAACCCCAGAGGGGCTTGTTATGACTTAACAGCAGTGCATTTGGATTTTGGTTGGTTTCCCCTCTCCCATGTGACTCCCAGGAGCTCTAGTGGCACCGTGACTGAGGCATTCAGGTGTGAAACAAAAGGGTGAGAGTTCAACCTTACAAGTCACTAGGCACAAGAAAAATGAGGCAGTCTTCTGAAAAAGACTCTATAGGGCAGGTCTGCTTTGCCCTACAGGGTCACTATACATCAGACTCAGTGGTGGCGGGTTAGTCATGTGACCCCTACCAGGAGAAGACTCTTGAAAGTTTGTACCCATTTCCTCTAGATGACTCTCACACACCTTTTCCCTTTGCTGCTTTTGCTTTATATCCTTTCACTGTAGTAAATCAAGTGATGACTGTAACTATATGCGGAGTCCAGTGAGTTCGTCAAGTAGTGACCAAACCTGGAGAAGACCTAGGGATGCCCATCACAGAAAACTTAACCAAGCCTGAATTCAGAGTGGAGCTGACAATGGAAACGAACTGCTTTAAGACGAACACCCCAGAGCAACAGTCCATAGACAGTGTAAATTGCTAGTAGGAGTATGTTAGCATTCTAAGGATTGGGCAAGCTGAGATCCCAGCTCAGGGTACTTCCATATTTTTTTTTCCTCTACGTTCTTTCTCTACAATAATATAGCGACTTTTACTTTGTTCTTCCCTCTGGCTCAGATAATTCTCTGGATATGCCAATTAGGATTCCTCTAATTCGTAATGAATACTTAGGTCCCAATCTGCTCTCCCCTCTATTTTACTTTCAGCAGGTTTCACTCAGCTTTTTGCTCCTTAGGGAGTTGACCAAGAACCAAAAGCAACAACAATAACAACAACAAAAATTCAAGTACACTTTAAGTATTTATGCTATAGTATTTCAAAAGTACTTTTTTTTTAAAGGGCAGACTTATCTGAGAAAACAGAGAGGAAAAAAAGCAAAATGCAGTAACAACAAAAATTCACTACCTAAAGGGAGCTCTGGTGGCCATGTGGGTAAGAAGTTGTGCTGCCAGCTCAAAGACAGGCGGTTCATATCCACCAGCTGTTCCTCAGGAGAAAGATGGGCAATCTCCTCCCATGTGCGTTATAGCCTCTGAAACCCCACTGGAGGAGGGTCAGCTACAGGTCAGTTCCAACTGGACTGCAACAACATAAGGCTCCATAAGAGGAGTGTCAAATGAAATGAGAGCTGTCATAAATTTAGCCTAGGTGAAGAATCCTTTCCAGCAGCAGATCTTAGAAGAACGAGTAAAAAAGTGATTATCTAGAGCAGCCTCTAATTCCAAGGTGCAAGGTATTCATCTTAATGAAGTGAAGTGGAGCAAGGAAGGGAGGCAGTTGGAAGACCTTTTTCTAGGAAGCCACTTTTCAAGTTGCAACAATCACTGGACATTGTATTTATGCTAGAGATAAATCATAATGTTCTAGGGATTGTTTTTCTTTTTAAAAAAATAATGATTTAAATAAAAAACAAATATAGACAGAATAAACTTAGGAGGTATCATTAAATATTCAAGGAAACAAAAACATATATGCTCATTTATAATTTTATTTATATATAATTTATAATTATATTTATATATAATTCAGCCAAGAAAAAACCACAGCCAAAAGCACTTTCAGCTTAAATCTTGACTTTCTACTCCTAATTCAAAGTCCTCAGACAATCTTCCAACGTACTTAAAATACAACTTGGGGCCAATTCTCAGCACTGCCTTCCTTAACCTTGAAGTCTGCATGTGCACACCAGAGCACACATATAAAGGCAGACAAGGGTGAAAACAACCACTAGTAAAGCAAAGTTCCCTCGGCAACATTCCAGGAGACCAAAGTGCAAGTGACTGTCCAGTGACTGCATTCAAAGCGATAAAATGTATAAAATGTTTATTTTTCCCATTTCAATCAGAAGATACTAGAAGTGCAAAGAGGGGACAAACCTAACAGAGAGGGGGAAAAAACCCACATCTTTTCCAGCGTATTTATTGTAAAGGATTAACATCCTTTGCTACACTTAAAACAGCTGCGTGCTGCTTTAGTAATCTGGCTCCATTTTTCTCTCCATGTCAATTAAAAAAGTGGAGCATTTTCTACAATTCTTGATCTTCCAAAGTACGTACATTTGCATTTCTTAATCGGTTGTGGTTATATGCGGTACAGTCAGAATGACTCAGATCTGACCCTCTAGCAAGTTTTCAGAGGCTTTAAATCACAGGAGAGGGGACTGTCCATCTATCTCCCCCACAGCAGCTGGTGGATTCAAACTACACGCCTCTAGGTTGGTAGCACTTCTTACTCCTAAGCCTCCAGAGCTCCATTTCTTATCTAATTAGAGGCAAAACCTATATTTTTTCTGACTACTCATGTATAGCAGGATTTTTTAAAAATTTTATTATTATTCATTTTAATGAAAATTTACAGAGACTTTGGATTTCCATTCATTCATTGTTGCACTTTTCTCCCTGCCCACCCCTCCCCGCCCAGTACACTCCTCTCTTTGAAAAGTAAAAGAAAAATTCTTTCATTGTATTACAATCCCTCCCCCTAGGTCCACTCCACTATGCAGACTTTGCTCTAGACTCCTGTCATGACAATAATCCCAATCACATATCCCTTTTAACCAGTTCTCTCCCTCATGTTTCAATACAGTATACACTATTGAACCCATTCTTCTCAGTCTCCCCACAACCCCAAAGTCAGCCTCATTCTACAACAGTGGCACTATGCAGTATTTGTCCTTTTGTGACTAAGATACTTCACCCAGTATAATGTCTTCCAGGGTCACCCATTTTGAATAATATTGCATGAGTTCCTTGTTTTTCAATGAAGCATAGTGTTCCATTGTGTGAATATACCACAGCTTTTCTTTCCGTTCATTTGTTGATGGGCACTTAGGTTGTTTCCAACTCCTTGCTATTGTGAACAAAGGCATAATAAACATGGGTGTGCATATTTCTGCTTGGGTGGCAGGTATGGTCTCTTTGGGGTATTTTCCCAGTAGTGGAATCGCTGGGTCAAATGGTCTCTCTATTTGTAACTTTTGAGAAAGCACCACATCGCCTTCCACAGTGGTTGCACCATTTTACACTTCCACCAACAGTGAATAAGGGTTCCAGTTTCTCCACAATCTCGCCAGCATTTGTTGATCGCTGTTCTGTTAAATTTTGCTATTCTTACTGGGGTGAGATGATATCTCACAGTTATTTTGATTTGCATCTCTCTTAGAGGTAGGGATTTTGAACATTTCTTCGTGTTCTTGTTGGCAGTGTCTGTTCATATCCTGTGCCTATTTTTCAATTGGATTGTGTACCTTTATCTTGTTGTGGTCGTAGCAGGATTTTTTAAAAAAGCATTTTCTACTTTAGATTTTTTT